AGCTGTGGGTGAAATGTCTTCATTAATAAACCATCTATGAAATAACTACTGTATAAAAGGCTAGCATAAAAAAAAAAAAAAAGGCTAGCACAGCTGCAGAGTGATCCTTTTTAACAAATGTGACCACCCCTGGGCTATTAACCCTTCTAAGGCATCCTAGTACCTAAATCCTATGCCCTAAATCCAACAATGGCTTACCAGCTGATATGTAATTTGCCTCCTGGTATGTTTTCTACCCTTTCTCCAGTTTGCTCTGCTCCAGGCACACCGGTCTCCTTGCGGTTTCTTCAACGTGCCAAGAAGTTCCTATTGCACAGTCATTGTACCTCTGCTTCTCTTCTAGAAGTTTCCCTCCAAAACCTCACGTCACTTCCTTGCTCACTAAATGACTAGACTGCTGCTAAGCCCTTCCACCAATGGGCCTTCCTTGTCTAGTGTACCTAAAAGAGCATCCCCCAAATTACTGTCATCGACAGTCCCGGCCATTATCTTTTACTTGTCAATCTCCCCCACAACAAAATAAGCTCCATGAGGCAGGGGCTGTTTTGCTCACTGCTGACTTCCCGGCACCTAGAACAGGGCCTCGACAGCGCATTCAACATTGTTCAGCAGATGCATACATAGATATTCAAGATGTAGCAGATATAGAACTATCCTATAATTATTGACTTGACCAGATAGGGCCTCTGGAAGAGTCTAATCCAGTGGTTCTCAACCTTCCTAATGTTGCAACCCTTTCATACAGTCCCTCATGTTGTGGTGACCCCCCCAACCATAAAATTATTTTTGTTGCTACTTCAGAACTGTCATTTTGCTACTGTTAGGAATAGGGCAACCCCTGTGAAAGGGTCATTCAACCCCCAAAGGGGTTGCTACCCACAGGTTGAGAACGGCTGGTCTATCCCAAAATAGTACTTGTTAGTTGAAAGTGATAGGAGCCGAGTTTTTGTCATTTGTACTGTTAATTTTCTGATTTTTTTACCATTAACTTGTACTACCTAGATACTAAACAACAAAAACAAGAGGCAGCACAGGCAGGAAGTGTAAAAGAAGTCAGGCACATATTTGAATGCCCGACTTGTAACTAGATGTAACAACCTGATACAATGAACCAAGGTTTGACTTCCCTTCCCCAACCCTTCCTAGCATGTGCCTTCAAGGTATTCACAGGCAAACCTCAGGGAAATCGCAGGTTTGGTTCCAGGCTACGCACACGAAGTTGGTATCTCAACAAAGCGCGCCAGGCAGACTGCTTCCCAGGGTATGAAAAGTTAGTTTACGTTAGACTGCAGTCTCGAGTGTGCAACAGCATAGGATACAAGTCTCCGATATTGGGAGAATGATCACAATGTGACCCAGGCGTTTCGATGGCTTCTACAGACTTGCTCCACAAAGGGTTGCCACAAAATTCAACTTATAAAAAGAAAACAAAACTAGGAAGGGCAATTAAGCAAAGAACAATAAAAGGAGATATGCCCGACTGTGCGTGAAGCCTAATTTGTTTCCTCTGAAAAATGGGGTAATAATTGTGCCTATCACAGTTGTTTTTGCAGATTAAATGAGGCTTGGTGTAACCGTTGTATAATGCCTGGCATGCAAGAAGTACCGGACAAATTGTGGCCATTAAGATAATTATTAGTAGTAGTAAGAGATGTTGGGACATACCTAGCCCTCAAGATTGACATCAGAGTGGACCACCACATCCTCTCATCATTGCGCCTCAGTTTGAGCCTCTGAAGCCCAACGAGGTGATGAAATTGTTTCAAGGAAGGCAATTTCGATGTTCCAGCAGCATCTGAACACAACGTGCTCTGTTCACCGCTGCACACTGTCCGGATACTCCATGGGTGGCATTCCACGCCCGGATTTGAGAGCGGGCCTCTGTTCGCCGCCGCCGGCCTTGGGCCCAGTTCCTTAGGTGGGCGGAGGGTGGGGAGGGAGCCAGGGGAGGTAGGTTTAAAAAAATCAAAATTAAAACAGCACCGAGTCGTGAAGGGGCTCAAATGGCAGCATGCACAAGGCAGTCTCTGGCGACAGGCATAGCGCCACACGGGAACTAGCGCCTACAGGTCACACTCGAAAGTCAGAGGAGTGGCAGGGAGGGAGGCCGGGGGCGGCGGCGCGGGCCTGGGCGGAGGCTTCCGGCTGCAAGAGCCTGGAACGGGCCGAAGGGGGCGGAGGCCGCGAAGGGGTGGCGGCGGTCTCGCGGCTGCGCCACTCGGGAGCGAGCACGCAAGCCAAAGGGCGTGCGCGCGGCCGGCGGCTCTCGGGCGCGGAGCAGGGGAGCGCGGCGAGGTGAGGAGCGAGATCTGGACGGGCGGCGGGGGGCGAACCCCTCTGGCAGGACGAGGAGGGAAGCGGGGCGACGAGAGGCGGCAGGGGTGGAGGAAAGGGGGCGCGCCGTGGCGCCGAGCGCGACGCAGTGGGCGGGCGGCGCCAGGCCACGCCGCGCTGGGGGGTGGGGGGCGGGGAGGGCGGCGCGGGCCCCGCCCCTCCCCACGGCGAGCCTCACGTGCCCGCCCCTGGGGCTGGGCCGCTCCTCTGCCCTAGGTACACGCTGGTCTGATCTTCGCAAAGGAACGCGTAGTCATGCGAATTACAGCTGCAGTGTGTCACGTCCCTGACATTGCACTCTGAGTCCTCATGTAGGCCTTCCAAGCTCGCATTTTTCGCTCCCATTTCAGTGTCGAGGAGAACCGAACTTTAGGTGTGCAATAACTTGCCCAACATCCTACAAGTAACGAAGCGAGGGTTTAAATCCATGTCTGGAAATGTGCAGCTCCTGCCGCTGTACTCTGCACCACCTAACGCCTGTGTGGCCCACAATACCAGCCTGCCCCCCTCCTGCCAGTAGCTTATTTGGATTTGGCAAGTTTGTCCCCTTCTCTCAAGGCTTTGTGCTCCGGTAGAGTTACAGTCTCAGACACCCACAGGGGGCAGTTCTACCTGCCCTATAGGGTTACAATTAGTTGGCATCTCCTAGATACTAGTGAGTTTGGTTTGGTTTTTCCCCTCGGGAGCTCCGGTGGTGGTTACATACTGGGTTGCTACCTCAAAGTCGCAAGGTCCGTGAGAGGTTGAAAACGGAGGACGGAGTTGTGCAGAGGTCCATCCTGTCGGTCCCGGTCCCAGATGAGAGGTTGGAGACAGGACAGATAGAATTTAGCCAGGAATGTGAAGTTGAGAAAGGCTTTACTGAGGCAGGGAAAGAACTCCCGGGAGGGAAGGGGGAGCAGAGAAGGATGGGGGCATCTTGAGCCCCCGGGCGGGTTCCGAGACCCAATGACTTAGGTCAGGGAAATCACGTCTGGCAGTGAGGCAGTGGGACATACATAGGGCTTGAGCCAAGGACGGGTGTACTGATGAGGGGAGGGAGGGCCTTCAGGGTCTGCGTCAGGACGTGGTCTGTGAGTCAATCACCCCGGAACACCGAGGGAAGGGGCTGTACAGACCCGGCCCGGACAGATAAGCTCCTTGGAAGGCTGGAGGCAGGGGCTGCACAGTCCAGCTCTGGCCTTGAGAGGCGGGGGAAGGGGCTTCACAGTCCAGCAGGCTATCTTTCGGAAGAGCTGGGAGAGGCAGCTGCATGGTCCCGACCTGGCCCAGTCAGCAGTTCGAAAGCACCAGCCTCTGCAAGAAAGATGGGCTCTCTACTCCCATGAAGAGTTACAGTCTCCGAAACCCAAGGGGCAGTTCTAACCTGCCCTATAGGTTTGCTATGAGTTGGAATTGACTTGATGACAGTGTCTTTAGTGGTGTTTTTTGTTTGTTTTCTCTTAAGGATGTTAGTGTTAGAGCTGGGGCCTCTTGTAGAAAGAGAAGAAAACAGACTGCTTATTGAAACACTATGCATATGACAAAGAGAAAGCTGACAGCTGATGGCTTATCAGTGTCCCCACATTCTTCACTTAACCATCTGTTAACCACAACCTGTAAGATAATTATGCAAGTAACAGTCTCAGGCACTACTGAAAAAGGAGCATGCCGTAAATCTGACTTGAAGAGTTAACACCGTGTCGGTTGATTCTTCCTCTGGACCTGATCTGGTTTTCAACGTTTTCTGTATTTTCGTTTTGTTCGTTCATATTACGATGTAGCTCAGAGGTGTTGTATCATTGGAGCTCACACTCTTGAAGTTGTGTTATATGCTGTTCTGTTTTTTGCTATATGCAACTCGAGACTGGTGACCCTATAGGAACAGCAAGTAAAATAAGGGTTTGGGGGGTGGAGGAGGTAAAGGGAGACGATATTAAGGAGTCCAGAAAGCAAAAGAATGTTTGGAAACTGATTGTGGTAGCAATTGTACAATACTGCTTGATGTGATTCAACTATGGAATGATCTATTATTAACTCCTGATTAATAATAATTTTTTAATTGAAAATGCTTTTAAAAAAAGCAGCATGCTAGAGGGTTGTGAAGCTACAGAAAGAAGCCATATTCAGGAGTACCACCTGCTTTGTCATGGTAGAATGGAACCAGACCCAGCCACCCCATTGGGTGCCAGCGTGGAACTCTGCTACATAGGATTATCAATGACTGGGTTGTTTAGAAGTAGATCTCCAGGCATTTCTTCTAACGCACTTCTGGGTAGACTGGAACCTCCAACCTTTCAGTTAGCAGCCAAGCACGCTAACGATTTGCACCACCCAAAAACTCGGGGAGAGCTCAATAAATGTTGACCATTTTTTATTACTGAGTGCTTAATACCTGTGATAGATTTGGGGTCAACTTGGCTGGGCCAGGATTCTCAGTGTTTTGACAGTTAAGATTTAGTACTTCCTCCTGTTGTGACCTAACACAATGTAATCACCTCCATAATGGGATCTGGTGTAAGCAGATAAATCATCAGATTGGGACAGAATGCAACACCTTACTTAGGTTGAAGCCCTGATGTAATTGGTCTCTTCTGGGGTGTGAGCCACTTCCAATGTAAGTGGTAGCTTAGAAAGCTTGTTTTTTACTGGGTCTGGATCCTGCATTTGACTCATTGACTTCTGGTTTTTTGGACTTTAGCCCCACAACCTCCCTGTTGATCCTGGAAGTCATCAAGAGACCCGTTATCTGACCTCTGACCTTGGATTCATTCACTTCTGCAGCCACTAGCCTGCTGACCTTGGATTTATCAGACCCCAAAGCTATACAAGTCAGGGGAAGTATCCAGCTTGACATCTGATCCATGGACTTTGAACCTTGGGCTTGAATTTCCCTACTTCTACAACTGTGAGCCATTTTTTGATAAAACTTTCTCTCTCTCTCTCTCTCTCTCTCTACACACACACACACACACACACACACACACACACACACACACACCACACATATATAAGGTTTACTTGTTTTGCTTCTTTAGAGAGCCCAGCCTGTCAGGGGAGTCAGCCCCTAACAAATCATCATGGGTCCAATAGGCACAATTGTACAGCCATAATAAGTAAAGATTATAGTAAAATCAGAGAATAAGAGAGATTGAAATAATGGAGTCAGACACATTTTATGGTAGCATGCTCACCTCAGCTCCTCTTGGTGGTACCGGGCAGGAGAGAGCGGTTTATTGCTAACCAAGGTACAGGGCAGGAGAGAGCAGTTTATTGCTAACCAAGGCTTATATATCTTTAGGGGTGTGCATGACCCCTAATCACAGGTAAGGACATCACAGGAAGGGGTTGTACAATAGGCAATACAAGCAATAGGAGGGGGGTATACAATGGGCATAAGCGTAACAGGAAGGGGATGAGCTAGGGGTGTACACATGATAGGAAGGGGAGGGACTAGGAGTATACATATGACAAAGGTGGACCCTAGATTCCTGATGGCGACCCAACCTTGGTCTCCTTTGAGTGGGCTTGACCTCCCTCGGTTCTCCTATGGAAGGGAGTGGGCCCTTCTTAGGGTGGGACAGACTATAGAGTCTGATTGTTGTAGACAACTGATAACCCTTAGGGAGAATGACCTCTGACCTACTTTCGTTGACCTCCAAGTGTATAGTCATTTACCATGTGTAGCAAGCATCTAAGTTTGGCATATATTTGAGGGAGACAGCTTGGGAAAAATCTTTCTGTTTCCCACAATTCACCCTTTTGTTTTATGTATTAAATCCAATAGAGCCACAGGGGTGACATGGTTATTCTATACATTGAAAGCTGTGAAGGCAAAATTGATGACAATATTAAAGTAGCCAAGCCAAAACCTCAGGTTTATGGCAAGCATTGTGAATCCATGCATGGGGGATAAAGTCCCCCTATTACCATCTGTTACTGGAGAAAAGTATGAGAGGGATTGGATACTGCAGCAGGAAGAAATAGAGCAAATAGGAATGTCTGCTGCTACAGAGAGATAGAATCAACCATGTGGTTACTTTAAGGCAGCACAGCGTTAAGGGGAGAATCTGTGGAAATGATATATTACCACAGGAAAATGTACTTGGTCTATAGCTCCAACTACCAGAATGGTGGCCTTCCTACCGTGAATACTGGCCTTCCACATTCCCTCCGTACCAGTTAGGGAATAAGTTCCAGTCATAGTTCCCTCTTTTGTTTTATATGTAAAATTCAAAAGAACTACAGTGGCTACAAGGTTATTTTCTATACATCCGTACCAGTCAGGGAATAAGTCCCAGTCATATTTCCCTCAGTGTTAGTTTCCCACACCAGCCGAAGACAATAACCCTTGCTAAACTTATTTTCTTCAAAGACCAACTTTTCCTAGGTCTACAGCAGAGGGAGAACACCCCCCTCCACCCCAATAAAAAAAGAAAAGCTAACAGCCATGTTATCGGAGTGTTGCCTACAGTTAATACATTATTGTCCCATGTTAAAAATCACAATGTAAAAGAAGTCACTCCTGGAGAACAAGCCCATTCCATATGCATTTATTGAGTTCTCCTATGTGCTTGGCACTTTTTTAAAGTCATATAAATTTGAATGGGATGTTGTCACTGCTTTCATTTACTTTAATGTAAAAGTGGAATGGAGCCCTGGTGGCATAGTGGAAAATGTGTTCATTGAGCTGCTAACACAGGGTCAGTGGTTCCAATCCTGTAGCCACTCTGTGGGAGAAAGTGTAGACTGCTTGCTCTTATAAAGACGTCAGTCCTGGAAACCCAAAGGGGCAGCTCTGCTCTGTCCTGCAGGGTTATCGTAAGTCAGAATTGATGTGATGGTGCCGAGTTAGTTAGGTTTTGAGAAGTGGGAAAATATGCATCCAGAAGTTAACTGGCACAAAGTAGAATGTGAAAAGTACAAGAAAATGGCCCTTGTATGAGCCCCTAATAAAATGATTTAAAAAATAAAATAAAACAAGCACAAAGTTGAATCTAAAAAAAGATGTGCTTGATACAATTGATGTATGAATTGTTATAAGAGCTGTAAGAGCCCCCAATAAAATGGTTAAATTTTTTTTAATTTAAAAAAAAGAGAGAAAATGGCCCAAAAAGCTGATGTAGAAGTCATCTAGTGTGAGATGTGCCTTCATTTTTCCCTGCAGAGATACTTTGTGCGTGATTCCGTAGTCTCCAGTAAAGATGCTCGGGTTGAAATCTTACTATGATGAGAGACAATTAAGAGCTGAGCTGTTGAACCACTCTGGGGATCTCAGCAGCCAGGAGTCATGGACCAAAATCTTATTAGTGAATGACGGGACTCAAACTCCCTTAATCCTCTATGTCTTACTCAAGATTCACAGTTCCAAATTATCACGGGGTGGGGAGGGAGGGGGAAAATGAAGAGCTGATACCAAGGGCTCAAGTAGAAAGAAAATGTTTTTTGAGAATGATGATGGCAACAAATGTACAAATGTGCTTGACACATGGATGTTTGTATGGATTGTGGTAAGAGATGTATGAGCCCCCAATAAAATGATTTAAAAAAAAGATTCTCATTTCCATAAGAAGCGATCTAGTTGCTGTTGCATCTGTGGGAGTGGGGGAGGTGCAGTTCTGGGAACTAAACGCCATGTGGGAGGGTCAGCTCCTCCAATGAAAGAGGGCTACAGAGAAATGTTGCTGCTTGTTATCAATAGGTAGCATTTATAGAGGGAGTACGTAGGCCACAACTCTGGGAGATAGATTATGTTATCATGCCCTGTTTTACAGAAGGAGGAAATAGTTTGAGAGAGAATTGATCCTTATAAAGCTAGGACGTAATAGAGTTGAGTATATTGCATTATCCTCTCTGTATCATGCCCTTTTGAGTAATTTCTTGATCCGTGTACCATGTCTTTTGTCCATAGGGAGTCTTCAAGCTCTGGTGTACGTGTTGGCCAGTTCTGAAATCTTGTTGGAGCTCTACGTTGACAATTAGGGAATGGACCGTTTGGGTTCCTTTAGCAGTAAGTATAGTGGGGATATAAGTCCCATGTAAAACTGAAGTGGAAGTTGATCAAGGGAGAAAACACTTGAAGTAAAACAATAAAGCCCTGTGTATCTAGCCTTGAAAAAACAATAGCATCATATCAACCAATACTTACCAATTGCTCACTGAATATTTGCCACAAGACATATCAATCTGACCTCTATAAGAAAACTAAATGTAGAGGGACCAGGTATAACGGTAACCTATAACTGGACTTTAGAAGCACAGGTTTCTCTTTAAAACCAATAACATGTTTCTAGTACCTTGATAAGAAATGTCCATGATAGAATAAAAGAAATTGATTCCTCCTAAGCTTACCCCCTTTGTAGATGGAATGTATGTTCTAAGAGTAATCTATAATATTTTTAATGTGCAGAGAATGGTACATGTGTGAAATTTAGGCAACTTCAACTACAAAGAAAAAAATTAGACTTAATTGATTCTAAAGAGATTTGACATACCGTATATACTCGTGTATAAGCCAAGTTTTTCAGCACATTTTAATGCAGTTTTTGTGGTAAAGTTAGGTGTCTTGGCTGATATTCGGGTCGGCGTATACTAAAATATATACAGTAATAAGAAATCCCATTATTAGATGTTTTGTGGAGTCTCAAAGGACTCCACTTTTTGGGTATTGTTTGCACATCAGCAATTTTTAAAATGGCCTTTACTCTTGGGGAGTCATGAATGGCACAAAATACCGTCATTGAGATTGGTAGTTTGAATCTCCCTGCTGTTCCTCAAGAGACAGGCTTAGTGGTCTGCTTCCAAAAGGTAATAGTCTTGAAAACTGTATAATGTGCACACAGGGTCACAAGTTGGAATCAATTTGATGGCCCCTGTGAAGGGAGACGTCGGCCAGTGTAAGATATGACAAAATAATAATAAATTATCAAGGGTTCATGAGGAAGGTGGGAGCAGGGAGGGAGGGGGAAAAATGAGGAGCTGATGCCAGGGGCTTATGTGGAGAGCAAATGTTTTGAGAATGATGATGGTAAGGACTGTACAAATGTGCTTTACACAATTGATGCATGTATGGATTGTGATGAGTTTTATGAGGCCCCAATAAAATGATTTAAAAACAGTGAAATGATAAAAAAAAAAGAAAGAAAAATTTGATGGCCACTAACACATATTTATTTTTGAGTGGCACAAGTAGTCTGTGATTGCTGTTAACCTATATGTTGGTAGTTCAAACCTACCCAGATTCTCCTTGAAAGACAGGCCTGGTGAACTGTTCTATAAAGATTACAGCCAAGAAAATCTAACACACAGGATCGACTGAGTCTGGACGACTGCAGGGTGGTTAAAGACGGCGATTTACTCTTGCCGCTCTCCCATCCTACTCGGCATTGATATAAGGTTAAGGCAGAATGGAATCTTCAGGTACACTTATGTAGTTCAACACTCATTTTACATCATATGGAGAAAGAACCTAGACAAATTGGCCCAATGCTGGGAGTTTACAACCACCTCTCTTTTAAATAGTTTTAAAACTTATTTGGGAAGAATTTCAGACTTCACAGGAAAGTTGGAAGACAGAACAATACAGACTATCCTCTCTATAGATAGGAGACCAATATAGACAACACACATCATGGTTTCTTTTTCCTTGTCATTTGAGGGTGACATATGTTATGGCCCTTTATCCCTTCATACTTTTAATATTCATTTCTTATGAATAGGGATTTTCTATTATTTCACCTCTTACCATCTGTTTTGTCTAGTTGTGCCCTTCATGGCATTTTTCCTTCCAGGACAGGATCCAGTTAGCAGTTAGGTCTTTCTTTTTTTATTTTTTAATCTTAAATCTTAATTTTAAAACATTATTAAAAGACGATCTTAATTTTTGAATATTTTACCATTGGTCATGAATTAAATTTCCCTACCTCACCTCTCACCTCTCACCTCTCCTACTCCAAATATGTGTCAGCTTGACTAGGCCAGATCCCCAGTGGTTTGGCAGATGCTCAACGATGTAATCATTCCCAGGTGATCTGATGCACAGTAATTGTTACTGTCGGGTGCCGCTGAGTCCGTTCCAAGCCACAGCAGCCCTATGCACAACAGAAGGGAACACTGACTGGTCCTGCGCCGTCCTACAATTACTCGTATGCTTGATTGCCTTGCATCCACTGCATCAGTCCTCCTTTTCGCTCCCCCTCCGCTTTATCAAGCCGTAATATCCTTCTCCAGGAACTGGTGTCTCCTGACATGTCCAAATTATGCGAGATGAAGTCTTTGCCATTGCATCTGAGGAGCACTCTGGCTGTACTTCTTCCAAGACAGATTTCTTTATCCTCTTGGCAGTGTATGATACTTTGAATATCCTTTGCTGGCACAATTCAAATGCATTGATTCTTCTTCTGTCTTCCTTATTCAGTGTTCAACTTTCACATGTATATGTGGCGACTGAAAGTACCATACTTGGATCAGACACACCTTAGTCCTCAAAGTAACATCCTTGTTTATCAATACTTTTAAGAGGTCATAAACAATGCACTGCATTGTTTGATCTGGATTGCTGCTTCCGTGAGCATTGATTGTGGATCCATCTAAAATGAAATTCTTGATAACTTCAGTCTTTTCTCCATTTATCATGATGTCACCTATTGGTCCAGTTGTGAGGATTTTGGTCTTTGCTTTTAGTTTTGACATCTCTCTAGCCTCCTTTAGACTGAAATAGTTCCACAGCCTTACATTGTTTTGTCTAACTCTGACACTGAAGAATATAGGCCTTGTCTTTCTGGAAATCTCTGTTTGAGCTTCCCACTGAATCTCCATATGTCCTCACCTCACCCCTTTTATATATTCAATTTCTGTTGTTTGGTTTATCTGCCTTTTCTTTTGTGAAACAGGTATGTATATGCTTTTTTATATCTCACAGAAAAGATAGCATACTGTTTATGCTTTTTGCTAGCCCCCCCATCATCCCGATTATTTTTTTAAACATTTTTATATTACTCTGTGACCATGCTAAAGCTTATTCAACTAATAACCAATGATTGAACGTTAAGTATTTTACAATTACAAATGATACTTGATGCATAACTCTGTAGGTACTTTTGAGTTGTTCCTATATTGTTCCATATTCATGGGAAGTTCTCAGAAGTGGGATTACTAGATCAAAAGACACTCAGTTTTGCTTAGATATTGCTAAATTCCCCTGGTGGGGGGCGGTTCTGCCATTTTATATTCCTACTAACAATTTGGGGGTGGGAGAGAGGCTTTTAAAGAGTTTGTGGAAAAATTCCATAATCTTTTCATTCCATTTCCCATGAACTTTAAAAAATCCATTCATATATAAGAATGCTTCTTTCCCACAGCTATACTAAGAAAAATTCACTCATTTGAAATTTTGCCAGTCTAGTGCATGAGAGCTATCTCAGTATAGCTTTCATTTTTATTTCTCTATGAAGCAGAGTATCACTTAATATGACGGGCCATTTTTATGTTTGTACTGTAGTTTTGCGTTTTGTCTTCTGCGATAGGAATTTTGCCCCACACCCACCCCAATTTAAAAAAATTATTGTATATTAGCGGTTTTAGTCCTGTATTCTATAGCTCTTGAGTAGATTCCAACTCATAATGACCCTATAGGACACAGAAGACCGTCTCTATGAGACTTGCAGGACTGTGATCTTTCCGGAAGCAGTGTGCAGAATGATGTGGTTAGATACCATGGAGTTGGTTCCAACTCTTAGCACCTGTGACAAGAGAACAAGGCACCGCCCTCTGCTGTGCCAGCCTGACCATTGTTATAGTCTGTGGAGCCCACTGTGGCAGCCACTGTGTGGGTACATCTCATTGAGAGGATTTCTCTTTTTTGTTGACCCTCTTCCAAGGGTCTAGCCTCATTATAGCTTTTCCAGGGTACAGGAGACCAATCTCACCATCCTTGATTCTAAGGAGCCTTCTCTCTGTACTTCTCCCAAGACAGATTCCTTTGGTCTACTGCCGACCGTGGTAATGTCAACAGTCTTCAACATAATGAAAATCCATCACTTCTTTGGTCTTTCTTATTCAATGTTCAGTTTTTGCATGCACATGAGGTGACTGAAAATACCATGGCTTCGGTCAGGCACACCTTCGTCTTCAAAGTGGCCACTTTGCTCTTTAACATTCAAAGTCTTTGGCCAAAGATTTGTCCAGTGCAATATGACATTTGATTTCTTGACTGCTGTTGCTTTGAGCATTCATTGTGGATCCAAGTAAAATTCTATTCCTGACTATTTCAATCTTTTTACCAGGTTTTTGTTTTGCTTTTTGGGTTAGTAGTGAAGACATGTGTTTTCTTTACATTGAATGGTAATCCATACTGAACACTGTAGTCTTTTATCTTTATCAGTAAGTCCTTCATATCCTTTTGGCTTTCAGCAAACAAGGTTGTATCATCTGTACATTGCAAATTAATGAGTCTTCCTTCAATCTTGTTGTGATATTCTTCTTGATGTAGCCAGCTTCTCAGATTATATTATCAGCATACAAATTGAATAAGTACTCATATGATGAAAAGATACAAATCTGCCCCACATCTTTCCTGATTTTTAAAATTTTAAATCATTTTATTTGGGGCTCGTACAGCTCATCACAATCCATCCATCCATCCATTGTGTCAAGCACATTTGTTGCCATCATAATTTTCAAAACATTTCCTTTCTACTTGAGATATTTCCTGATTTTAAACAATTCAGTATCCTCTTATTCTGTTCAAACAGCTGCTGTTTGGTCTATGTACAGGTTCCACATGAGCAAAATCAAGTGTTCTGGAATTCCCATTCTTCTCAATGTTATTAATCATTATGAATCACATGACTGAATGCCTTTGGATAATAAAACACATGTAAACATCTTTCTGGTATTCCCTGCTTTCGGTCAAGATCTGATGTCAGCAGTGATATCCCTGGTCCCATGTCCTCTTTTGGATCCAGCTTGAATTTCTTTTTTTTTTTTTTCCAGCTTGAATTTCTTGCAGCT